GGTACTTTCGAGGAAGCCAGCCAGAACATGAAACTCCTAGTCCGAACGTCAATATATAAATCTAGCTCTCACTACCTTCAGAGGGAAGCTCCATTGTCCTTCTGCGGTTTCTCGTCTTCATGCCGTTCATTACGCTAACTGTAGAATTGCGCATTTCGGCAGTAGCATTTTCAGTGCTTTTGAATCTCAACGACGCTACAGGACCATTTAACAGAAGGGTGAGCCAAATTAGCCAGCAGATATTTGCTACAAATCGCCGAGAATTTTCGCAGCGCCTGGCGGATTTCTTTTTGATAAAAAGAGCCCCAGAATTTAGGCCAGCTAAATGCCATCTGTTCATATATTCATTTACTAGCAAGAATGAAGACTTTATGCCCAGAGACTCTCATATTAGTAGCATAGCAACTCTTCCAAGAATAGACAGGATCACGCTTCTCATTAGTAAGTGTATGGTGCGCAGTACATATACAACATTAAGGCTACCAGCAACCTCAGCTTATACTATAGATCGGAAACTCCGGTCGGTCATCTTTGACAGCTCGCTCCCATGAAAACCGTTTAATCCTTCACGCTCCGCCAGCAAACCATCTGTGAGACGATTAAGCGACAAAGACGCCCTGTTCCTTTTTCTCGTCTCCTTGGGAAGAATGCTAACCACCAGTCTCAAACAACTCTCGGAAACATCAACATCAACAGCAGCATCTGTTTACCGAGTCTCAGGGCCGCGTACATTACATAGCGATAGTTTTCCCAGGAGATAGGAACAGTAACAGCAACAAAGGGGCTTGGACAGCAATGCTTCCCAGACGGGATTGGCAGCTGAGCGTGGAAGATGCTTACGGGTGCTATTCTGAAGGTCGGGGCTAGGAAGCTCTACTGCAAGCTGATGGTCGAGGGAATATTGAACGTCTTGACCCATTCTTTTCCGGTAACGCTGGGGCGTTTGGATGCAAGCGGATACAATAATCGCTTTGAATCGGACGTAGAAGCTTTTTCAGTTTCAAAAGGTAGACTGTAAACAAGCATCAAAATACATTTACTACAGATAACAGGCTTTACTAGTGACGTAGATGCGTGAAATCGATTGAGGTCCTTGCAGGAGAGCATCTTTCATTAGATCGGAAACGGCTAGCTCATGAAGGCTCACATAAGAGACCAGCCAGTTCGCTAAATGGCGACATAGGATACCTTTACCTGACAATTCTCCCACGCCAACTCGGAAGACAGGTAGATGTGGGGATGCAGGTCGAGTTGCAGAGCGTGGCGGAGAGGGATGTCAATGTCGATAGAATCATGACGCTGTCGGTGGTAGTGTCATGGTCAAGGTTGTGCGCAGAAGACAGGTTCAGAGAGAGGGGGAGGGATGGGCACGAATGATGGATAGAACATCTGGCTGGCCTTTGAAGGTGGTCGTGGCCGTAGCGGGGGCCGTCCAAAATCGTATCATTCGGAGTCGTATTGACTGGCTTAAGTGCTAGTCACAAAGCATAATCCGAGTGATGAGTAGAGAGGCTTCAAAGACGGAAGTGGTTCAACTCAGTTTCAAGCTGTCCTTGTCTGGGAGCTGAGGCGCTAGCGACAGCCCACGAAAACCGTTACAACCCGCTCAAAACGCTTGAAATCGCAGTCAAGAAAAGCACTGCGTTTGTTTATCCTAGTCCTCCACGACGGCCGCCCTGTCGCTTACCACGCTGTTCTTCTCCATCTTCTCTATTAGTCATATTGAGACGCAGGTTGTTGAACACTTTTGAAGTTTTTATTTGCGAGACGGTCGTACTGTCAGCTCAGTTCTCGGTCATAGTCTCAGTGTGGACTGTGATCGGATTGTCGAAGATGAAGTTGGAATGGATTCAGCCGACCTGCCCTGTTCGTCCCGTTCGAATTCTTCCAACATTTTTGGCCGCCATCTTTGATGGCTGGAGTCATATTTCGATTTGAACATAGAATTTGTTGTCCCGATTACGACAAGCCGGGCTGTATTTGTTTATTCATGCCAAGTCTTCCTTGGAGGAAAGACGAAACGCCGCCCACGGCCGAGACCCAACCTGTCTCAGCAAGAACACAGGTCTTGGGGGGATGTGACGGCATCGGGCCGTTGGCTTGGAGATGCTACGAACGGGCCTACCAGAGGCAGTGTGCTGAATGGCACAACAATATATGTTTCAAAGACAATGGGATCGATGATGTCGATGCGGGTGGGTATCCTGGAGTGGTATCTGGATCTCCGAGTTCCTCCACTATTCAGGCAACATTTGTCTGCCACAGGCAAACGGCAGTCAAAGGAATATGCCCGCAGACAGTCATATGCCGTCCGAAAGTATATATCAAAGCCTAGAAAAGAAAAGGGGGGTGGGGGTAGTTCTTTGCACATCGAAAGTACGCACTCTGGAAGTAGAGCTCAGAGTTCCCAAGACCGCTACTGCGCCTCAGCTCTCAAGTCTCTCAACAATGAGGGATCCGGCAATCAAACATCGACATCTCTGCCGTCTACAGTGTTCTTGGCTAGTGTGCTCCGTTCTTCGCGGGATCCTTGTATTTGTCGATATCGGGAAGATTCGCCTTCTTTGAAGGCGAGGCTTGGATCTGCCCTCGGTAGATCTTCGTTTTTCGACTCTTACTGTCGCAACGGAACGGAATAAAGACGAGGTATTACGGCCCAATGAGGGTGGATTGCCGAAGTCAAAGTCATTGAAGACATTTGCAACATCTTTTGCCAATACCACCGTCGTCTGGCGTACGAGTTGTTCCGACGCATCTTTCGAAGAGTAAAACGTTGCTCAGCTACAAACATGTAAGATAGACTTTTTCCGGATCGTCGAGGGCCTTGAAAATGAGCATGACATGCAGTGCCGTTGGGTAAATCCAGAATCAGTGGCCATCAAAACACTCTGCTGCCTGCTGAGCGGAGAATCTGCCAGCTGACTGTTTCCGGCGGGGTCGCAAAAGCGGCGCAACAGCGAGGTCGACATCGCGGCCAGAAGACGGCTGGTGAGAATGGCCTCAACCACGAGGGGGCAGCCTTCATAGTTGACTGAGAGAAAAGAAAGGCAAAAATATGAACGACTGAAAGGCGAAGCAGTTGGTACGGGCAATACTCTGCGTGCTTTAAAACGCTCATAAGGACGGCGGAGATGGGTAGACAAGGTTCTGATGTTGTGCGAAGAGATTGATGTCATGGGAAAAACGCCGGTGACCTGAGTGCGGGACACGAGAGCGCAGTGGGCGGGAGACACCAAGTTTGCGAAACACTCTCGTGTTCCCATCACCATTAGCCATGGAAAAGACTCTTTCCTTGGTCTGTTGAGTCCGCACTTGCCAATCACAATGTCTTATTGTTGATGATGTTTCTCGTGGTATCTCGGGCACCATCCATGAGAACCCAACTCATCCGATGCAGCACGAGAGACAACGAACACTTGAAGCAACATGCTTCCAATGAGATCGTAAGAAAGTTGATTTGATGGCTGAGTTCTACTGCAAGACCGCCAGCTCGTCAATCGCAGTCAAGATAATTCTGGCCGTGAACGACGAGAAACGTTCAAGCAGTAGTCCGTCTAAGTATATGAGATCATTATAACTCTCATGATACCACCTCCCTTCACATCATGTCTTCTCATGTTACCGCAACGTGCCGCCAACGAAGTGGCTCCCTAGGTTGCATGTTCGGGGTTGTTCGAGATGACTAATTATGGATTATCAGGCGTTTCGTCTTCGACGTTGAAACTGAAGTCGACTTCTTACCGCTGTTTGATTGTCGGTAGTTCGGATTCGGGACCCGCGGGGCCATCCCTCGTTCAATGGGGCACCGGTCTCTCGTATCCGAAATGCTGGATTGGGGCAGCATCGGAACAGGGGGGGAGTAGTTCGGGTTGGGAACACGCGGTGGGTTTTGGCCTGAAGGATCGAAATAGACGACACGGGGGTTTGGGATGTCTTCATTGCTGACGGGAAGCCAGGCGGTCCGGACGGCTCGAATGGTGGGTGAAGTGGATTGGGCCTGGGTACCCATCTCATGGTCTGCTGAGCCATAGCGCCGCAACCCGGCTGCGAAGCTGACCAGCTGTTCGGGGTATCGTCAATGCAACTCGAGAGCATGATCATGGCAACACATCAAAGAATACTCTTGGGGAAAATGAAAGAGAGGAGAAAGGGGAGAAGGGCTAGATTGAGTTTCAATTTTCGTTCCGCTCGATTAACCGCTCAACCGCAAGAAGCAAACACTCTGGCCCAAAATGGAAGCAAACATGCTCGGCCAACATGAAGTACCAACCAACACGCTCAATCAACAGCTCCAACCATCTCCGAGTATGCCAGAGATGCCAGGATTGTGAGCAGTGCAAGTGGAGAAATGACATGGAGGTCTATCCAATAAAAACGACTGTCTGAGCTCTGTGGAAACCAACGGTTTCTTTCGTCTCCACCAAATTAAGTCAAAGATACCAAAATCCCTGTGGTTTCCGTGGTACTTACCCACTTTTGGGCCGTCTCTCGAGGGAATCTATTACCACCACACGGGCTGGCATCGGCTTACTTTGAGATGCCGGAGCTCAATTATCGACTCGATATATAGAGCGAATGGCATCCATCCAATTGACAGAATAGTGAAGAGTACGTGACTGTCCTGCCTGCTTTTCCTTGCCAACGTTAATGTCACCTCGGGCTCAATCTTTGTTACAAATTGCAGAGGCTCAGGCTTGCCGCCAGTCTTACGATTTATCATGTTCTGGTCCCCGTTGCGACCCTCCCCTCATCCTACATGTGCTTTTGTTAACAAATTGAGTGGGCATGTCTCCTCTTTCTTCGTTTCACGATTCCATGAACTCTATAGACAGGAAACAGTGGATTGGGCTAGAAGCTACATTATCAGCCCAAACCAATCAAAATGATTGGGAAAGTCAAGCAATACTCATTCATACCAGTGGCTCTTCAAGCGGTAATACAAGCGATTCCGTCCCGCACCGAAATTCTCAACGTCCACTGATTCATCATTGGAACCTCGATCAATCGAACCACAACAGTTCCTCCTCGTCATCATCTCCCACAGGAGGCGCCAGCTTCTTCTTCTTCTTCTTGTCCTGGCCACTTCCAATATCACCAAAGCAAGCATCCTTAGTTTCCTTGTAGTATGCCTTGAGCATAGTAGACTTGGAGGCGATGGTACCGTAAGGAGTGTGTCGATACGAAGGAAGTCGAGACGTGACGGTGGTCATAGCAGACTTGTTGGCCGGGATGGGCGAGGAAGTATGCAAGGCAGAGGTGCCTTTTTTATCGACGCCACTGGTGGCTGCGCGATTTTTCTTCGGCGCCTTGGTAGCGACCTTGGGCTGCTCATCGTCGGAGTGTTGGGCGCGGGACCGAGTCTTCATGTTCGCACGCATTGGTGCTTGTCGGATTCGAAGGTTTCTGGCGAGGGGGTGGGGATCTGGGGAAGGTGCCGTATTCATGACGTCGTATACATCGTCTTTCTTTGCTTTCGTCTTGGCCTTGGATTTCTGCTTGGAGGCTGATTTTGCGATCTTGTTCTTGGATTGCTCAACGAACGCGGGGTCATCCTCGGAGTCGTAGTCATCCACAAAGTACGCGGGCGGGATGCCATCGTCGCCGTCGCTGTCTGCGCCTGGGCTTCGGAGGGGAGGATGTTCACGGAGGATTCGAACGTTGGACGTCTGCAGAAGGAGCGGTCAGTTAGCATAATGTAGATCTGCGGATTGACTCTGAATCGTACCATTCTGAGTAGATGGGCAGCTGGTGGCAGAAGAAGACAAGAAAATTGGGTAAATAGGTGTCGCGGAGAGGTTTGAAGCTGGAGTTGGCGTTCTGGTTAAATGTGATGTGTGCGGCAAGACTGCAAAGGGCAGGCACGACCGGGTTTCTGGAAGAGGATTCAGGGAGAAAAGTCCGACGCGCCAGGACCACAGAAGCGACGCATAGAGAGGCATCCTGCAGCGCTTGTGATACTGCGATTCAACCCTACTGTGAATGAAGACGTTGGTAAGTATCTTCTTTTCGTCCGATGTCTAAGGCTCTATTTTGCAGTTGCAGTTGCACACTGCCTAGTTTCGATCATTCCCAAAGTATCGTTCTGTCTGAACCGACTGTGCGGGTGTTTTTTGGGGATTGACACACGGCAGAGCACAAAACATCTTTGACCCATCCGGGACTGGCAGGAACAATTCCCGGTCTGAGAAACAACGAGGGATTTAGTTACTTACTTTCTGTTATGATAAAGCAACAAATGCTTCGTTGCCCATCCTTCCTGGAGAACGGAGAAACCTCTTTCTTCCCTTTCTTCCCTTCTAACTTTTTCTCTCATCGGTTCCATGGTGTCGGGCCCAGTCGGAGTTGGAGTTCCATAGAGCCGTAGACCGTCGTCTTGGGGAGTTGCAGGCAGGAATCGATTACCTCAGATGTCCTTTGGAGCATTCGAATCTTGCCCTCCTCGACATTTCCAAGTCAACGGAACTAGGGTACCAGTGGGAACTAGGGATGAATCAAGCACATAGTAGCCCTCGGGCAAGACTTGGAGGACGTTAGGAAGCGGCGTGTACTGCAGAGTATGTAGCTAGAGCCTGCGGCCCTCCACGCCACATACCCTTC